ACGCGGGGCTCGAACTCACGGACCGCGAGATCGTGACCTGGCTGAAGTCGGACGCTCAACCGACTGCGCCACCCAGGCGCCCCGTGGCTAAACTGTTTATACAAATAATATAGTTTATGCTGAAAACAATGCTTTCTTTCTGAGTCTGGAATTTTAGAACACAGACAGAGGATACCTACATCAGTACCCTGGGCACTGCGTCTCTAAAGAGTTTTCCTGATAGACACTATTTCATATGGGTTGTCAAGACATTTTGCTGGAGGACTTAAGCATGTCCTATGTGACTCCACTAAGAACAGACTTCTGTAAGCTTATGCCTGATCACCCCAGGACTTTGCTTCCTGCACCGTCTCCCCATGTAGCTTCGCTCTTTGTTGATTTTGTTTAGCATCTTGTTGCTGTAATAAATTAGAGGTATGGGCACAACTAGATGCTGAGTCCTCTGAGCCTTAGCAGACATCCAACCTGTGGGTGATCTTAGGGGCCTCCTGATACAAGGCTTTGCAGCTTTAGTTCTTACTCTCTTTCTTACTTTAGACTGCCATATGAAAAAGTCCAAGCTCACCTGCTCAAGAGGCCATAGAAAAGAGAACCACTGCACTCCAGTTGACAACCAACACCAACTCAAAGACATGTGAGGCTATATTAGACTTTCCAGCCCCCATCAACCTGCCAGAGGAACTGCAGCCACATCAGTGATCCCAGGCAAGACTAGCAGAACCACTTAGCTGAGTCCAGCCATTGCTGGTCCACAGTATCTTAAGCAAATAAAGTGGTTGCTGTTTTAAATCCACTAAGTTTTGGATGGTTTGTTACACAGCAATAGATAATCAATACAATATCTAATATTCAGCAGTTTCTTGGTGCCAGAAATTTTTCAAAAGCTTAATATTTATTACCTTATTCAATTTTTGCAAGAGTCCTATGAGGAAGGTCTATTATTATCTTCATTTTACCTTTGAAGAATGTGATGCCCCATGTCACTCAGCTAGCAAATGGCAAAACAGACTTAAACCCAAGATGCTTAACTCCATAAGCTGTGCTCTTAAATCACTGTATTACATAACTTGTCTTGACAGACAAAAGTCTTTCAAAACAACTGGATGTAGTTCCAATGTCTTATAAGCCCAAGTGTAAACAAGGAAGTAATTCCTTTCTCTGAGTTTACAGTTATGCCCGCTAAAAGTTGTTTTTTCCTACCTCCTCTTAAGTATGCTCATTTCTAACATATTCATATGCCATTATATTATTTTGGGTATATTCTACTGTACATATCCCATTTATTAGCTTCCTGTTATCTTTTTCTTTCTTTATGTGGCATAAATAGAATTCCAGATATTTACTAGGTATTTTGGGTTTATATGATCAAGAAAATGGGTACATAACATTTACAGCAATAATTCATAGTTGCATCAGTGATGCAATATAAAGATACAAATAAAAAACTTTACAATATCTACATCTATACAAATACTAGTAAGTTGCTAAAAGTTATATTTCTCTTCAAAATATCACCTTCATTTCTTTTTTTTAAAGGCTTATTTGAGAGAGAGGGAGAGAGAGCGAGCGCACATGCCAGAGAGGGGCAGAAAGAGAGGGGACAGAGGATCCAAAGCAGACTCTGCCCTGATGGCAGAGAGCCCAATGCAGGGCTCAAACTCACAAACCATGAGATCATGACCTGAGCTGAAGTCAGATGCTCAAGTGAGTCACCAAGGTGCCCATCACCCTCACTTCTTAAAAGAAAAAAAAAAAAAAAAACGAAAGTGAAAAAGTAAATTTTCAGTGATATGATCAGTTTACCTGACAAATCTTTAGCACTAAATAATTTAGAGTATTATTTAAAAGTAATATGAGTTCAGATTGCTAAGAATGAAAACTAGTCAAGAATTAACTTAATAGCTATGAGATCTATGCCAAGTTATGTCACCGCCCCTGCCTCAGCCTCCTTGTACTGAAAATGAAAATAATAGTTCCTATCTCACAAGATTTTGTGAAAAGTAAATGACATAAATACAAGTTTAGCTTTTAGCAGTGTCTGGCACATATAAAAGCCAACAGTCTCATCCAGGGGTCAGAACACTTTTTGGAAAGGAGCAAAATAGTAAATATTTAAGGAGTGCAAGGCATATGGTCTAGATGTCACAACTATTCTACTTGATCTTGCTGTACGAAAATAGCCACAGACAATACATAAACAAATGAGCATAGCTGTGCTTCAACAAAACTTTATGGAAATTAAAATTAAGTTTCACAAAATATTATTCTCTTGTTTTTGTTTCAACTATTCAAACATGTAAAATCTATTCTTAGCTCAGGAACTGACTGCAAAAAAACAAAAGCAAGTAGTGCCCTAGTTTGCCAACACTGGTGTAGTCTCAGCTTGTCAGCAGCTAGCTGTCTGTATAAGCCTAGGCAGTCAGTTTTATAACTGACTGCCTAGGTAAAGTATCATCACATAGAAAACAGGAATAATACCTTCCAGCCAGTTATGAGAAGTCAATGAGACAATGAATATGCAAGCACTCTGAATGTTAGGCTGCACTATACAAAAACAGTAGAAGGTGGCATCGATAATAAATACTTGTTTTAAAAAACTGGATTCCAAACTGCACTGTAGCAAAAATTATGAGACAGGAAATTATCACTGTAGAGACAGTGTGAGATGGTAAAAGAATTTTTGAGTCAGACATTCCAGGGCCCACATCAGGTTCCCCAATTTAAGAGATGTATGGTCTTCAGTATTTAAAATCTCTGATGAATATTAATTTCCTTAAATGTAAAACCAGTTAAGAGATCTCCTACCTCATAAAACTATGAGACACAAGTAAATAACCCACCTAGTGCCTGCACACTTATTAGGTGCTCAATTGAAAAAAAAAAAAAAAATGGCAGTCGTTGGTGCTATTATCGTCAGAATGCTGATCCTAAATATTCCTTAGAAGAATGTAATAGGGAGAGGGCGAAGTCTCAGAATTGGAGCCTGCGCACGTTTTGGGACTAGGACCTGGTTTCCTGCCAACCTAATGAACCTAAATAGGCCTCTACGGGGCTCAGTCTTCCAGTCTGCAGATGATCCCTCAGGTCCTTTTAGCTCTATTCATCACTAGGTACCGTGAACTCCGTTCAACACCCCGGGACCCAACCAGGCTCGAGAGCAAAGCCACTGAAAAAATAATACCCTAGACGGTTACTTAGCTGTCACCGAAAACCCCTCCCCAGCCGCAGCCTGAGTCATAAATTAAAGTACGACAGCAGGGTAAGGAAGACATGAGACTCACCTGGCTCAAAGTAGACCCGCTAGGTGCAGACCCAACAGAAGCAAACTCCGGCCGAGCTGCAGTCTCCAAGTTGTCCATTTTAATTTTAAATCTCGCGGGAAGGCTCGGGAGCCAATCGCTGCTTCCGCCCTCTGACCCGGAAACAAACTCTGAGCGCGCCGCAGCAGCCCCCAGCGGAGACCAGATTCCTTCTGACCACTTCCCGACGCCCCTGGTGCGTATCACACGGGAACCCAAGGGCCGCGCCGCTCTGCTCCTGGCCGCCCGCGCTCGCATCCTTTTCGTGCGAGTTCCTTCTCTCCCCGGGCCGTGCTGCACCTCTCTTCCTTCTGACCTGGGGCTTCGGGAGGTGGTAGCGGGGTCTCGCGGGACTTGCCTGCCTGGGGAGAGGTGTTGGGGTTCTTTGAGAGGACTTAAGTTGTTCCTTCCGTCTTTTCCCCTCCACTTTTAGAGGACAAGTCCAGCCCTCCTTGTACAGTAAAACCCTGAGAATGTAGTGAGATTGGGCACTAGTTTAACGAGGAATAGGGGACCAAGTTTCCTGACCTCGAATCTTTTCCACTTCTGACACCGCGCTGCCTCTGAGGGCATCCACCTGCTGGTCACCTTTAACTATTGCCCAGTCCCGGATCCCCTCTCCTATGGTTACTATTTTATAGGCTCCCTGAGGTGGGATTCCTCTGATTCTCAATAAATACTTATCAGGTTCTTGATGTGTTTGTTACTGAGCCCAACTGTTCTCAGAACAACTCCTGCATCCAGTTAAGAGAAAAAAGACCTCTTTAGATCCCTAAATCTCTGGGACTGCTGTTTCGTCTGGGAATGCTGCTTCCACAGTGCACACCAGGCCATGACAGGCTGGTTGAAATTTTGTGCCTAGTTTTATGAATATTATCTTTATGTCACACATTTCGGCACTCCTTCCTCCAGATCCTCTATTTTGGATCTGCTTATTTTATTGCTCTTTTCACACTGAATCATGACCATTACCGGATATTGTAATCTTCAAGGTGGAGGGCTGTGTTTTACTTCTCTAGCACTGGTGTCCAACACATAGTAAAGTATTTTAAATGCTGTCTCGCCTTAGGAGCTTGGCAGCTAACCTATTAAAGTCTCCATTTCTTTCTCTGTAAAATGGGAACTGTAAGTAGTACCTTCCTCTTAAGTTTGCAAATATAGGTGTCCTGATGTCAGTTAAATCCTCAACATGGAACTTACAAGCGGTGCTTCGTAAATGTTAAGTATCATTAATTTTTATGAATATATTTATTACAGTGGTTACATCTTCCAAGTACTTACTATATCTTTTAGGTCATCTAAACAGGATATTATGATACATTCTGCAGGTATCACTCATAAAGTATTTAAAGAAGTACTTGAAATTGTTTGGCTGTCTCTGGCATCTGAAACACCATGTCCTTATTTTATTTGCTGAAAGTGACTAACACTTTGATGGTTTCTGTCTTAACTGTGTCTGTGCTATCATCCACAGTTTCGTGACCTTGTCCAGTAGAAGGCTATTTTATTTTTACAACTGTTCAAGTATTGACATACAAGATGAAGCAAGATGCCACAAGAAATGCTGCCTACACTGTGGATTGTGAAGATTATGTGCATGTGGTAGAATTTAATCCCTTTGAGAGTGGGGATTCAGGAAACCTAATTGCATATGGTGGCAGTAATTATGTGGTCATTGGCACGTGTACATTTCAGGTTAGTGTACAAACTCAGTGAATGACAGTGCAGCTATTTCAGAGCTTAAAATTTTTTTTTGGTAAACTTTGGCTAAATTTGGAAAGCATATTGAGTTTGAATGTAAGAAAAAAAAATGATATGAAGAACTACCAAGGAAGATATTCCAGTAATATATGCCTGAGACTTGTGGAAACATTAAGTAGTGAAAAAAAAGACTGTAAGGCTTCTCTTTTGCCTCATGTTTAGAAATGCAATATCCTAGTAATTGAAGGTTGTGATTAACTGAACATTTGGTGTGTACAGGGAAACTTGAATTCTAAGTAATCTAGTTTTTCTACATTCCACTTTGACTTAGGAAACAAGCCTTAAAAATGGTCCTCCAGGAGATTTTACAGCTGTCAGGATATTCAGCTTTTCTATTCATATGCTCTCTTGCTTCTCATACATCTAAAGCATACATCCAGAGTGTACAAAGTATGAGACCATATTAATTGAACAGACAATTTAGCACAGTCATTAAGACAATGAGCTCTGGCACCAAAATGCTTAGATTTTTACTCCTACCTGGCTTTACCTCTTAATAGCTGTATGACCTTGAGCAGGTACTTAACCTCTCTTCTATAAAAATGGTGAAAATAATACTTAATGGGGTGTTATGAGAATGTAGTGAGTTAGTACATGAGAAGTTCCTGGAAGGCATCTGGCACATTTAATGCATATATATGCACACACACACACATATGTTTTAACTGTCATTGATTTGGTCAGCATTGCCCCCTAGCACAGGCCCATATTTAATCACCAAAGCAAGATTGTTTCTGATGAGCACACACCATGTTTTCTCACAGGAAATAGTTCCACATGTGGAAGAGTCTAAACAATGAGAGTTCAACTCTCAGAAATCTTGGCTAATCCTTAATTTACCAGAATATTATTCATAGAACAGTATTTCTCAAGATTAATCAATGAGGTAATTTGACAGTGATCAGTTTTCAAAGATTTAAAGTAACTTTACCACTCCCATACTGTTTATAAACATTATTTTCTCTTTTACTTGGGAAGCAGTTCAGTATCTTACAATGTTTTGGCATCATAAGTGCAGTTTAGCATTTTGCAATGCAATAAATATATAAAGTTATACAAAGTTAGACTGCATGAGTATTTATCCTAAGGAGAAGGTATGAATTAAAGGCTTCAGTTTTTTGGTGTCTGAGTAGAATACAGGAAGTCTTATGTTGTCCCACGTTGTCTCTTAAGGTTGGGATAGGAAGTGCTCGCTTTCACACCAAGTGACCCTCGGTCTGACTAGCTGGACTACTTGGTTAGGATCAAAAAAAGTCCACATTATTAAGAGAAATAACACACTCTTGAAAAAGACTGAGGGAAAAACCATCCTTCCAGTGTAGGCTACTAACCTACGAAAGAATAGAGCAGCTCCTTACAGGTGAAACTTTTACTTCATTACTTTTAAAATTAATAGCTGTAAACATAGAATTGTGTTTAAAAAAATACTGAAAAAATATACCTTAATCTCTTGTTTATGTCCAGCTAGGAAATGAGAAAGTCAAGAAGGGAGAAAAAAATTAAGAAAGGCAGAGGTGATGAGTGGCAGAGAGAAAATGAAAGCAAAAGACAAAACGAGAAGAGAACTAACAAAAACATTTGTATTGCTCTGTCATGTCTTGCACGTTGTCCTTGTTCATCTTCAGACCTGTCAGATTGGCAATCTGGGTCTTAACAGCCAAGTTACCTAAAGAAAGAATTGGATTTTATTAATTTGGCAAGTAATGAACACAAATATTCTGTGCCAAGTATCGGAGATACAATTAAACAACTGTCCCTGACCTCATAGAGTTTCCATTTTACTTCAAAGAAGTTCAGGGATTTGTAAATGACTGGTAAATAAAAAAACAAGACCTAGACCTTGGTTCTAAACCCCTGTTCTTTTCCCTCTGTGCTATTCAGACAGGTTGCAGCCATATTTCAAATAGTTCTGCAAGAGAATTGAATCCCAATAATCTGTGTTTGAGGATTCAGAATAAATTATTGCTTCCCTTTAAAGTTTTTTTTTTATCTAATTAAACACTATTAAACATTGTATTTTCTCATGTTAGAATCTTCAAGTTTCATAGTATCCAATTTCTGCCTCCCTCTTGTCTGAGACAACATGAAGTAAAGGTAAATTGAATTGAAAGCTTTCCACTTTCCTGTTGGAAAGGCAGTCCTCATTCTAAGACTCTTAGGAAACAGTGCACTAGGTTTAAATATCAACAAAGCATTTTTCAGAATCTTACTGTGTTCTTTTGAATATGGAAATTTGAGCTGAATGATGGTACTGTTAATTGATGTCATGTATTTGTCAAGTATTAAGTGCAAATCAGGTGCTGGGAACCGGTAACACATGTTAAAAAAGCAAGGACTCTGACCTCAGGATGTTTAAACGTAAAACAATGCAGTAAGAAAACTGCTTTAAAAAGTCCTATGTGCAAAGGGTGGAGGAAACATGAAAGTTTCTAGTCTATTCAAAGGGTCACCAGTAATGCATCGGGGCCCTTACTGGGATTTGAATGAGAACATTTGATTTAAGCAAGCTCGTTGAATTTATATAGAACATGAAGCTGACAAGGATACCTAATGCTTTGATGATAAACTGCATTTAACAAGTATTTATTAAGCACCTATTGTTTGCCAGACACGGTACTTAGAATTGAGCTATCCTTTAATAGATCGGATTAATGGACCAAGTTGAACAAGCTAAAAATTAATAAAGTCTTGAAATGATAGACTGCTAAAGCTAGAAGAGATAATTGTGACTTATAGTTTTTAGTCACCTGGATGTTCACCATGAGTCAGTGCAATGATTAACTGCCAAATTCAATGCTGTTCTGTAGAACTACAATGTGAGCCACAGGTATATAAATTTAAGTGTTATAGCAAACACATTAAAAGTAAAAACCAGGTGAAATTAATTTTAATGTTTTTTTAACCCATTGTATCCAAAATATTTCATGTGTGACCAATATGAGAAATTAATGAGGGGCTCCTGGGTGGCTCAGTCAGCTAAGCATCTGGTTTCAGCTCAGGGCGTGATCTCGCAGTTTGTGAGTTCAAGCCCTTCATCAGGCTCTGTGCTGACAGCTCAGAACCTGGAGCCTGCTTCACACTCTGTGTCTCCCTCTCTCTCTCTGCCCTCCCTGGCTCACACTCTGCCTCTCTCTCTCAAAAGTAAACATTAAAAAAATTTTTTTTTAATTTATGAGATATTTTGTGTTGGTGTGGATTTTGCACTTTATAAAATATACATAGTTCTGAACTAGCTATATTTCAGGTGCTTAATCACCCCATGTGACTGGTGGCTACCATGCTGGACAGTATAGCTCTATATTCTCCTGTATAAATTCACAGGTTGTTTAATGTTTACTTCAGTTCTCAGCAGTGTATATTATGATGCAAAGCAGATGATGTATTCAAAGACAGATTTCAGAATGCTGTTAAAATGTTTGAAACCATCATGTGAAAGAGGGATTAGACTCAGAATGGTAGATGTATTTTGTGTTACTTGTCAATTCTGAGTTGAGTTGTGGCTTAATAGCGCTTTAAGACCGATGCTGAATCTGCTCTTTGAGTGCATTCACCTAAAGAGAGATCAGCTGTGGCCAGACACTTGCCATCACTGAAGTAGACTTAATCCATATGGTTCCAGAAGGCAGGAGCACTGAATAGAATTTACATGGGAACAGAGTTAGGTTTAACGTTAAAGAGAACTCTTCTAATCAGAACTACCCCTGAGTTGAATAAGCTCCCCCCAAGAAGTAGCTAATTTCCTGTCACCGAATGTGCAGAGAAGGGTTGTGCAAACTCTCTTCAGATGTTCTATAAATTCAAGTGTGAGATGAGAGAAGTGGACTAGGTAAACTTTTACAGTCTCATCTGACTAAAATTCTGTTTGGCCTTAAATGGGTGTGGTGGGAAGGCCTACCAATTTCAAACCCTTAGAATAGCCCTTTCAATCAACCTGGCTTTGTCCCAACCTCAAATACGCCAGAGCCTTATATAATGATTTGTACTGTAGCAAGTTTTCCAAAGTGTCTTAATTTCCTTCCTATACAATACTGCCTACACCCCAAACTAAACCTAAAATAACATTCGTCTCTGCCTATACCACACACACACCCTAGCCTTTTAGTTGGCTCCATGGCAGACATTGCTGCCAGGAAAAAAGGTTTCACTGGTAATACATAAAGCTCAGGGTATAGAGTCCCTGGGTTTCTTTATCTCCACCGGCCACCCAATAACTCCATATGTACTATGGGTAACAAATTATAGAACCCAATTGTCAACACTGTTGTTACAGTCGCAAAGTAAAGTGTGTTTTGATGGTGAAACTTCATTTTTAGAAGATTGATTTGTCCAGTGTGGAAAAATAGATGTAACCCAAACTATGAAGTCAGCTATGATTAGGCTCTTAACCTTATTTTAAAATTGCTTAGTGGTTGCTGCCTTGGCATATCTGGCTGTTAGCTATACAGTTATTATACACACAGATTATGAAGTAATAAAAGTTGACAGTGTGACAGTGTTTTTCTTTCCTTGATAAGTACATTTCTATCTCCTTTTTTTCATTTATGGAAAAACTTTTTGTTGTTAACTCTAAGTTCATCTGAAATTTAAAGTTATTTTCAAGGGGCATCTGAATTATTTAGAGAAAACCCTGTGTAATGTATCTGTGAAATGGCTTTGCTAAGGATCCCAAAGGCTATCCTGGAAAAAATCTACACATCCAATAGGATTCACTTTAAGTACACACTCTAAAACTTTGCATTTATTTTTTTTTTTATGTTTATTTATTTTTGAGACAGAGAGAAACAGAGCATGAATGGGGGAGGGTCAGAGAGAGGGAGACACAGAATCTGAAGCAGGCTCCAGGCTCTGAGCTGTCAGCACAGAGCCTGATGCGGGGCTTGAACTCACGGACTGTGAGATCATGACCTGGGCTGAAGTCGGATGCTTAACTGACTGAGCCACCCAGGCGTCCCTGAAACTTTGCATTTAGATTCAGGATGAATGGAGTTCTTAGAACAGGCCTTTAGGTAATATTCCTATCTATGTAGACATATGTATTCATTAACAAGTTTCACCTGCTCTGGATTTTTTTTTCCTTGATGATGTTAGAATTTTATAAAATTATAAAAGAATTATAAAGGATAACTTACAAAAGGTAACTACAGCCACTTAATACAGAGGATTCCTTGGGCAAATTTGTCATGAAAAATTTTGCTGGAGTCTCTAGACCAGTTAGGGTATGGATTTAAATAACAAGACAAGGATTTACTTATTTTTAAATTACAATATTTTAAGCCTATAAAAAGTATTTTAAAATATGTATTATCTTGGGGCGCCTGGGTGGCGCAGTCGGTTAAGCATCCGACTTCAACCAGGTCACGATCTCGCGGTCCGTGAGTTCGAGCCCCGCGTCAGGCTCTGGGCTGATGGCTCGGAGCCTGGAGCCTGTTTCTGATTCTGTGTCTCCCTCTCTCTTTGCCCCTCCCCCATTCATGCGCTGTCTCTCTCTGTCCCAAAAATAAATTTAAAAAAATATATGTATTATCTATAAAAAGTATAAAGAATAATAAAATAGGGGCACCTGGATGACTCAGTCACTTGAGCATCCAGCACTTGATTTCAGCTCAGGTCATGATCTCATGGTGAGGCTGGGCCCCGCATAGGGGCTATCAGTGCAAAGCCTGCATGGGATTCTCTCTCCCTCTCTCTCTGCCCCTCACCCTTTCTCAAAATAAACAAATATTTTAAAAAAGAAGAAGAAAATAGGTTCCTGTATACCCACAACCTGGCTTAAGCAATGGAACATTAGTAATTCCCTCGAAGCCCTCTGGGTGTTCTCCCCTTACCGCCTTTCCTTCTCACCCCCAAGAGTCTGAAATTTTATGTTGGGGATTCTTTGTTTTTCTTTATAGAATTACCATATATGTAGGTGTTACAAATCAGTATATTGTATTTCATGTTTTAACCTTTGTTTTAATGAAATTATTCTGTATTCTGTTCTACAGTATGTTGCTCTTACCATTGCATTTGTTAGATTCCTCCATGTCAAAGTTCATTTATTTCCATTGTTATATGATACACAAATATACCATGATTAATCTATTCTTCTGTTGGCTATTTGGGTCACTTTTTGTTTTTTACTCTTGAAAACCTTGCCAATACGCATATTCTTATGTCTTCTGCTTGTGTTTTGTTACCTCCTTTCATTGTTTTCTTCCCTGTTAATTTGGAGGTTGTACATGCTGTTTCTTTTAATGGTTACCAAAGACACTTTAACATACACACTTAATTAGACAAAGTCAAAATTAATATCTTTAACTTCTTCATGAACAAAATAAGGATCTTTGACTCTTTGAACTATTACCACACCCTCCAGACTTATATTACTGTCATATTTTAGTTCTGTCATTTTTCTTTTCACTTTAACACACGAATTTAAGTGTTTTATGTGGCTAATATTTGTTTAGATTAACCCACCTGCTTGCCTTTGATTTTTTACTCACTTTTTCTTACATCTCAGGCCTTCCTTCTGGGATCATTTTTCTTCACCTGAAAGCACATTCTTTACTATAAGAAAAACTTTACTACTAAATTTTTACTGCTAAGTTATTTACTACTAAATAATTTCTAATATTTTACATTTTTCCAGCCACTTAAGGTGTCTGTTGCAAATTACTCATAGTTATTTACAACTCCTTAAAAATCTAAAACTGATTTTCATCTCATGGGCCTTACAAAAACAAGCCAGAGGTCAGATTTTGCACAACATTGGTTGCCACCATCTGCTTTAGATCTTTCAGTGAGAGTTTATTGATGCTAAGTCTTGGTTTTTGTTTTTCTGAAAATATCTTTAGTACAGCTTCATTCTTGAAGTGTTTAGTTCTAGAGTTTTTTTCAGTCATCATTTTGGAGCTCTTATTCTACTATCTTCATGCATTTGTTGTTTCTGCTGAGAAGTCCATGGTTGTCCTTTTATAGGAACTCTCTTGTGTAGGGAACCTGTCTTTTCTTCTGGCTGCTGTTGCTGACTCCTCCCCCTACCCACCTCCCCCA